AAGATTTTATTTATTTGACAGAGAGAGACATGGCGAGAGAGGGAACACAAGCAGGGGGAGTGGGAGAGGGAGAAGCAGGTCTCCCGCCGAGCAGGGAGCCCGATGTGGGGCTCGATCCCAGGACCCTGGGATCAGGACCTGAGCTGAAGGCAGATGCTTAACGACTGAGCCACCCAGGCGCCCCTTAGCTGAAATTCTTCTAGGAAGAACTTTCTATTATCAACTTTCTGGTTACCATGATATTTGGTTGTAATAAAAAGGCAGGAAAAATGTTTTGAGTCTTTTCCTTATTTACCCATTTTCAGAGTAATTATGAGTTGATGGCCTAGCAATCTCGGAAGGTGATTAATATATTTTTTGGTATCACTGTGAACTCATTAAATTAAAAATATTTGATATATTTCAATCCACTTCTGTAATTTTTCTTTCTGATGCAAATTATCCCATTTTTGGCCAACAGGAGCCCCTTCAGCTTTGTCTGTGCATCTTTCACGTGGGACACCCTAGTAATCTTTTAGCTTCCTTACTTTCTGGCACAAGATAGTCCACGATTACCTTGTATATTTTATGCCTCAGACCTGCAACTAGTTATTGCTTCAAGAAATGGTATTCAGAGATGTGGTCTATTACTCTTTAACACAAGGAGGTATAAACTCTGCCCCTATAATTAACCAAATTTTCCTCACTAGCAGACACCTCCACTAAGGCAAGCATCTCTGAATTCCTAGTTCCTAGCTCTGTGCGATGTATTTCTAAGACCTAAAATAGTGCCTGGTACGTAGACGTGTAATAAATATTTAATAAATATTTACTGAATAAATAAATATTTACTGAATGAATAAAGCTCTCCCAAACTTGTTTCCACTGATGAGTTCCTCTAGGACTGTGAGTGTCCACCCCATGGCCTACAATAATCTATATGCTGTAAGGGAGTTGCTGCTTTTTGTCTGGCTTCCGTTTTCTAGGATAAACCTCAACTCCTTAAACTTTCCTCCAACCCATTTTTCCTTCTTAAAATCTTTAAAAAATGTATTTGTCTCATCCCACTTCACTTTTCCTGATGATAACGCCTCAACTTTGCATTAATTTCTTCTGCACGTGCTACAATTTTAAGGACTTTTTCAACTCATTATGATTTCAGAAGGAGTTAATTTTCAACTCTTTCATGCCATACCACTTAACAAGGTATCCTGGCATCATGTTTTCTGTGGATCATCACCAGCTGGTTATTGATCAAGCATCATCTAATGTGAGAGGCTTACTCTCATAAGTTCTAACATTCTGAACCTCATACTTAGTAATAACTGCCCTACCCTTAACAATTTCTTGCTCTGAACTTCTAAAATGATTCTAAATAGTGCTAATTTTTCAAGTGTTAGGATAAGTAGAGAGCAGGTCTTACCAAAAGTTTACTTATAAACTTGAAAATCAGGTTGCTAAGTCCAGCCTAGTTTACATCATGATAAACGTTATTTACGAGCACAGCGGGCACTGGCTTGATTCCTCTGTGACACCAATCAACGGAGTCTGCAGCTGAATGTTAAGCTCCTGACAACAGCCCAGTGCGTGATACTTTATATCCAGCAAAGTAACCAAGACCATATGTTTGTAAATTTTCGTGAGCGTCAGATTCAGCTGGATTCTGTTAGAGATACAGAAGCCCTGGCCTTTCCTCTGTAAATTCTGATTCAACATGTTTGGAGTAGGGCTGAATTATCTGCTGCCCAAGAAATTCTGATACACAACACAGCTTCATGACTATGTCAAATACGATGCGATTATTGCATTCCTCAGTTTAGGAACTTGGTCTGTTGGACCAAAAATGGGATTAAAAGTATAGTCCTGGAGTAGACTTTTGCTTTAAATAATCAAATCCTACTACTGAAGGTTAGACAAAACAACAGAAATAGGAAGAGGGGAAGATAAGAAATTTGGATTCTAGAAACCTTATCAACTATGAAGACCCAAAGGAAAGAAGTCCCACATGGGGGATCACCTCATCTTGTGCATCCTTCTTGATAAGAAAAGGGAGATTCCTGGCTGTTGTCATGAGAATGTCAGCTGCTTGCTCTGTGGAGAGGAAAGGAAGAATACGGGCAACCATTCTCTTCCCTTTTCGGATACACATGATCTGTACAAAGTGGTCATCACTTGGCCTGCAGGGGAAGGAAATACTCACTTAGGTCAGCAAGAACAATTTAACACATCCTTTATCTCCTCTTACATGTTACTGAACGAACTTGCTGTGCTCATTTTCACGCTACGATGACCTTTGCTACAAAATAGTGGGAATTACTTCTCCAACTCTCAACCAAATAATAACAAGTCATTTTTCAAGTTTTGCAAATGTAGAAAATCGTCCTTTCACAAACGTATGTTAAATAGACTTGTTCAAACTACAGGTGTTCATTTCCTTTAAGTTTTATGTAACTAGACAAATAACATGGTTGATACAGCAAAATCTGAAAACATACATAAGCAAAAAGGATATAAAAACAATCATTTCAGAATTAACTTTATATTGTTATTTTTTTTTAAATTTATTTGACAGAGAGCGAGCAAGAGAGCACAGCAGGGGGAGCGGCAGAGGGAGAGGGAGAAGCAGGCTCCCCACTGAGCAGGGAGCCTGATAAGGGACTCGATCCCAGAACCCTGGGATCTTGACCTGAGCCGAAGGCAGACGCTTAACCTACTGAGCCACCCAGGCGCCCCTACTGTACCATTTTTAAGAACCTTTGTGCTGTATATTTTTTCATTAAAGAAAATTAAAAAAAAAAAAGAGTCCAGAGAATCCATACGGCTTTGTTACTTGGCTTTCTTCACCCAACAACTTCTTGTGACAATTTTCCACCTCAATAGATACACTTTAACTACGTCGATTTGATGGCCCCATAACATTCCCAACTATGGACAAGCCCACATTTATTCAACCAGTTGCCTGTCAACCTGACTCCAGAAAAGGTGTGTTAAAAAGAAGGGGTTTATTTTTATGTTCTGGTTTGTGAGTGTCCTGGCTTAGAAGAATCCCCAATTCTCTTGAAAGGGCAAAGGAAAGGGAGTTTTCAGGACAGAGTCCTCTTGTATTCATCAAATAAATACTTGAGGTTTATTTTACTTTATTTTTTTAAAGATTTTTTTATTTATTTTATTTGACAGAAAGAGAGAGAGAGTGAGAGAAGGAACACAAGCAGAGGGAGTGGGAGAGGGAGAAGCAGGCTTCCTGCTGAGCAGGGAGCCCGATGCGGAGCTCGATCCCAGAACCCTGGGATCATGACCTGAGCGAAGGCAGACGCTTAATGACTGAGCCACCCAGGTGCCCCAACACTTGGGGTTTATAGAACATTTACTGTCAGCAAGATCCTGGGTGGAAGAGATGACAGATATAGATAAAAAGATACATTAAGGAGCTTAGTCCTCACTGGAAGACTGATTGGCTGCCATAGCGTATGAGTATTCTATGGAAATCCCAAGAAAGTATAAATATCTATGCTTTCCATCTTAGTAGAAAAGACTACATGAAGATTCCAAGGTTGAACATGCTAGAATAAAGCATAAAGCAAGTACAATCTATAGGCTCAAACACAGAAACCAAATCATGTTCCCCACTGTGTCTCCAGTACCCAGCATAGTTCCTAGCAGATAGTGAATAGGTAGGTGTCGAATAAATGAATCCAGAATAAAGAGATTTTTTTCCTGGCTGGGAAGGATTATGAAATGCTTTATATGATGCAGCATTTGAGTTAGGCCGGAAGGATAGACTCTGAGCTTCCTCAGATGGTGAGGAAGATATCCCAAAGACAGAAATGTGGAAAGCTCAGGTCAGCCGAGTAAGGAGTCCAGCTGGTCTCACGTGTCCCTCCAAGTGTACAATTCTTACCTCTCTTGTCCAGGCAATTTCCCCCTTAAGTTGTCATACATGCTACAAATTTTGTGCTTTCTTTCATCCGCCAGGGCAGGTCGCTCTTCTTCTAGACTTAGGAGATACCGCCTTTCATAATCCTCCACATCCAGGAGTAAACTATACGTCTAAGTGAGACACAAAGCAGGCCACAGCATGCTAGGTCAGGATCAGAGTATTTGATAAACAATTTCACAGTTTAAGACCACCAGGTAAAGACAAAAGAGCGAAAACGAATTGTAGTAAGACTGAGAGGAAAAAAGTGCTCTTCTGAATCCAGAAAAACATAGTGAAAGAACTTAAAGAATTCCTCCGTTTGTTGTCCCTCCTGACCACTAACCCAGGAGATGACAGTGAATGATTACACCCTTTGCAAACTTTCCAGCAGCAAGAATAGCACTGTTAACATAAATGATCTGTATCACTGCTTCAAGTGATGCGTTCTATTTATAAACACAGCAATAATTTTACTCCCGGGTGCCAGGCACTGTTCAAGGCACTTTGCATGTACTCATTCACCAGACACTCTCCATGACCCAGTCAGAAAGAGACTATATTATCATCTCCACTGTTGCAGATGAAGAAAATGAGGACAGCACAGAAACGTTAAGTAGCCTGCCTCAAGTCACAGACTCAGAAATGGAGAAGACGTGATTTGCAGCCTGGTTCCACACTCCGTGCTCTTCCTTGCTACGCCTATGGCTTTGCTACATGGTATTTACACTTTACAAATGAATCGCCTACAGAGTACCAAATTTTTCTTAGTACCCAGCACAGTGCCTAGCTTCCAAGGGGCTATCCAGTAAATACCTGTGAACTGACTTAATTAACTCAATTAATTCATAGGTGGAACAATGTAATTTTTACTCTCATTTTCTTAGAAAGGTGACCTGCTCCCAAGCACTTAGCAGTTAACTGAACAAGCTTGGACAAAGACCCAGGACACTGTAACTGCAGTGTTCTCTCCACGGGGTCATAGGTGAGGCACTGCACATTCTTTTCTAGTGCGCTCTGATATACAACAGGCATGTAGGAAGAATATATTCATTAATTAAAATCGCAGAACACTGACTGCTTACTTTTCCACTTCTTGCATACACATACATGTGACAGTTCCTTATTTGCAACTAACTACAGCAAGAAATTCTAAAACTTACTTTTTCAATGATGACAAGGGTTTTTCGTCTCTTGTCCCGAACCTGCTTTTCTTTTGTCTCCTAAAAAAAAGAAAAGACTATTCAGTGTGAATTCTTTGCCTCTGTTAAAAATAATTTTCTAAGCGTGCATATGTAGTTCCATTTGTAACAGTACTGTAAAAGAATCTTAACTCTTTGTAAGTTAATAATCTTGGGCGCCTGGGTGGCTCAGTTAGTTAAGCGACGGCCTTCGGCTCAGGTCATGATCCTGGAGTCCCGGGATCGAGTCCCGCATCGGGCTCCCTGCTCAGCGGGGAGTCTGCTTCTCCCTCTGACC